TTGTGTTTTAGTTACTTGTGTAAAAGTGTGTCTGAAGTTCACATTTCTCAAACAAAGGTCAATAATTCATAAGTCGCATGTCACACAGCATCACTCCTTCAGCATCCTCCCCTGACACCAGCCGATATATGCGTCTCGTTGCCGGCCCTGCCTGACTGTAACTGCCCTTTGTGGTATTAGCAAGCACAGCCGCAGGCAGACAAGTGAACAACAGCCATATCCAGATGCCCTTTAAAAAGCCAGTAAAGACAGGGTCAGTGGTTTCCATTTGATCGCCGACTCTGTGTGTCGTATGTCCGCCGTGCAGAGCAGCGGCGTGCAGAGCAGCGGCGTGCAGAGCAGCGGCGTGCAGAGCAGCGGCGTGCAGAGCAGCGGCGTGCAGTTTGATTTCCTCTCAGGTCAAACCATTAGCACTCTGATGGTAATGTCTTTGCTTGTTTTCGTGTTTGTGTGTGCGTGTGTGTGCAGACGCGGGTACTGCAATGGAGAATGGAAAGCAGGAAGCTCGTGGGGTGCAGAAGCCTGGTAAGACACATCCCACAATTGCCTGTCCTGCTGGTCTGTTTGCAAAGGCCAGCTGGTCGTCGCCATCCACCCATCATGGCCTCTTGACCTTTACTTGCCTGTCGAGCTTCATTTCATCCATCTGGAGCTTCACGTTCATTGGTTGTGTGTACCTGTTTGTGTGTGTGGGATGTTTGGGGCTTTTTAAAATCTCCAGGATGCTCAAACTGAGCAGAAACTAGTTTAATGTTGGAAAAAGGACAGAAAGAGTAGCAAAGACTTGCTTTTCTGTTTAACATCAAACTATATTTGCATGACAGCGAGTCTTAAGTGGCTACAGGAAGTGGTCAGATTGTTGCGCTGATAATCAGCAGGGATCCTTGCAATGAGACCATCAGCTGCACACTGTGTGCTCAGCAGTCCTGTTGCATACGATCAGAATAAATTGATCTGGTGTCGTCTCATATTTGAAATAATAAGCAGCAGAGATGAGGAATGAATACAAAGAGTCTAATGAACTATCTGAACTATCTCTCTCAACACAAATAGACCAATGAGAGGAGTGTTTGTTGTGTGTGTGGGTGTGTGCTCCAAACTTTCCTTTCCAGTAGTCTGAGTAGTCTTTGTTCCCACCTCCCAACCTTTAAATAAGTAGCCCATACACACTTCTGTTGCTCTGTTCGCTGTTTTGGTCACGATGCTGATGATCCATAAAGTGCTGCTCTGCATGGCTTTGCTGGAGAAAGATCATGCATGGGTATGTACGTGATTGTGTATCGTGTCCCTCACTGGCAAAGCCCAGTTCCCACTGCTGCCTCTATCAGTGTGAAGGGTTGCATCCCTGCATCTTCTACACTCACAGGGAAAATATGGTGGTGGGTGGAGGAGGTCTGTTCTCGACCAATCAGACTCTAAGAGGAGGTATTTGCAGAGTCTCCAGCCTACTGCTGATTCACTTCCTCTTCACGGTAAATGACACAGACGCAGGTAACTACGTTTAAGCTCTGACCTCGCCGGCTCGTCTATATCTGCCAGTTATTTCCTGTTATTCCAGTGATGACTGGGCCCTGAAAGCCCTGCTCTATTATCTGTTTCACTCTAAATGGAATAACAGTGAAC